GACGTCCGTCGCGCCGGCGGGCCGCGTGCCGTCGACACCGCCCCGAGAAGTGACTGACACCGGACAGGCAGTTTGATGGCTGCGTGTCTCCACACCGGCCGGTTTTGTCGACGGTAGAGACAGTTTAGACAGACCGGGCCAGACGGCTTCATTGGTGCTGACGTGCCGACATGCTGGGTAACCGGGCGTGCTGACCTGACGGGCTGACCCGACGGTGACCGCTGAGGTGCCCCAGCGGCCGCGCAATGACTGTCCAAACCCGGTCACGATCAGCGTTGACGTCGGTGATAATTTCACACCGTCACAACGCAGATGGATGGAATTATTTCGTAAACGGCCGGCGCGCCGATGGGATTCCATCAGCCCGTTCGTTCACGACATCAGCCGTCGATGATGCGGCTCCGCTGTGGCGTGGGGTCACTGCCGACCCTGGCGGTCCGAGCAGCTTTCGCTGCTGGTCAGCCCGCACATATTTTGTCGGCGTGACGGCTGGTATGGTCGGCCAGTGCCTTATTGGGTGTGGAGAAACCTACAGCAGTAGCGCTGCCGCCGCCACTGCGCGCGCGACGGGTCACACGGCCGACCTGGCGTCACGCACACGGTCACGTGACGCTGGCGTGACGCTGGCGTAACGGTCATGACGTGGAACTGTGTCGAACACGACCGTCTATAGTGCTCGTGGTTACATTGGATTGGGAGTGGTGCACGCCTACCCTCCGAGACAAGTGCCCGGTAAAGCATGCGCCATGGATGACTGACCGAGGTCGAGCACGCTCGGCAAAACTTGAAGTGCTTATGGAATGTTTCATTGATTATATTATATATATATATATATATATATATATATATATATATATATATATATATATATATATATATATATATATATATATATATATATATATATATATATATATATATATTCACTCTTCTATTCAGTTATAAAGAAGAACATTTGTCAGCTACACGCTTATCACTGCGCAAATATTAACATTACAGTCTTAGGATAAGGTCTAGCCGCTGACACATCGGACGTTCATTACGCACCACGAATTATGCTGAATTACGCTCATGAATTATACCGAGCTTATTACACAACGCACGCATGTTACGCGGAGGTCGTACTTGCTCCTCAGTCATGGCGCGCTCGGCGCCTTTCTGCATGGTGATGAGTGGCCCGGCTGGCCGTCCGCCGGTCCCCGGTCAGGCATCCATCGTCCTTCCCCCCCCCCCCCTCCGATACCCGGACCGTGACGAGGCAGTTAGGAAGGGGCGTAGATTGCATTGCAAGGAGCAAGGTTCTTGGTGGTAGACAGGTGACCAAAGGTTGAATCATGGCGAGGAAATTTCGCCCTGTTTCATTTTAAAGTTATTACTTTTCCGAATCAATCCGTTCAAATAGTGTCCAAAGTGTTGTTCATGACAAAATCGCGAAGCTGCTTGTTCGTTCCTCCTGTGGCTGACCCTGGATATCGTTGGACATGGCTTGGCATCAAATGGCAATGCTAAGAGACCTGTCACAATCAATCAATCATGCTGGTCATATTAGGGTATATTGCAAAAAAGACCGTAAAACATGGCAACCTACCAATAAGACCTTTCCGTTTACATTATTCAGCTAGCTTTACACATAGGTATTGCATTAATCTGCCTACTTGCGAAGCGGCTAGCGATTTGGACAACCTTTTGCCAATGGCTTATGTCAATTATGGTTAGTTCTGTTTAATTAGTTACATCTACCTTCCGCTTTTTGGATATTCAATTTCCGCCTCCTCGCCTCCTCGTTCATTGAAATTTATTAATTTTCCTCGCTGTTATGTTGGAACTGGCAGTGAATGCCTGAAGACCGATAACTGTTCATTCTTGCTTTTGCGAGTACGTCCTCATTATCAGGCTATGTTGTTTATGTAAATAGGTCATGCAGCATGCCTCATCTCAATCTGGAGCCTCATTGCATATCCCGGTAATGAAATAAGCTTGACCGGCGTCAAAATTATGAAAATTGAATCCACTTACCGTGTCTAAGTGCCCCATGAAAGTGAATTAAACGTTTGCATCAATCGCTTGTAGATAAGCTGGAGATTGTAAGCATGCTATTTGAACATGAAACTCGTCTAATAACTGTCATGTTAATAATGGAAATGGATCTTGCAGCATCACAATGACGCTTTTATGCAAGATGGTGTCATCCTGTTTGTTTTAATCATTCAACATGAAACAATACCTAATAAATGACTGTCATTTTTACGAAGGAGAATGTTTCACTGTTCAGGCATGTCCGCTTTTTTGTCTTCCATAGTCTCAATAGTTTCATCAGAAGACTGGGGTCACTGTATGAGTGATTTTTAAAATAATCTGGATAAAAGTTTTATCTGTTCTACTGTCTACACAGGAACAACACTACACTTTTTACCTGTTTACCTGTTCTAAACACTTACAGGTACAGGTGTAGTTAATCGCGCACATTTTTTGGTATGGTATTGCACTTGCCATTGACTTCAAAACACAGTCTTTTCGTACAGTATTTATGTCTCTGAGCACACCAATGCCGGACGTAGCACCCATCTGGCTCCCAAAACACACTACGAAACACAATTGGCATTCACTGTGCACACACGGAGGTACTCATGGAGCTCCCTGCACTCGCCGGCAGCACCTCCCCTGTCTCCTATACCCGGCCGCCACACCCTTCTCCATTCGCGGCGACAGCTCCCCTCCCTCCCCCGTCTCGAAGGAGACCGGCGGTCTGCACGCTCCGCCGCCGCTGCCGACGACTGCCGCCGCCGCCGACGGTGGTGACGGCTTAACCAGGTGTGTCGTCGAGCTGACGGATGACGCCGCCGGCCCGCCGTCACTCCCGGGGAGGTCAGAGGCCACCCGGCGGATAACGAGAGACGGCTCCACTGACGAGGATGATTTACACTGAACGAGGGAAAATAATAAGCATAGGTACGTCATTAGAGTGCGACATCAAATGTTATGAACCGCCTCTTGTATGCTTATGTGAGTCCCATTATGCAACCATTGCGTAGCTGAACAATGGCTTCATGTAATGTATTTTCTGAGTTGTTTACCACGCAGCTCAAAGCATCCCCACCCTTGGGGAGCATTTTCATAAGCCACAAATGGCCCGCAGCGCGGCTGAAGCCGGTCGTCAGCGACCGCCCCCCATTCCCTCACAGCATAAACAGCAATCAACGTCCGCGCTGGAAGCCCTCGACCTCTCCCGTGTCGGCGGCGACGTTCGACGTCTGTCGACTCCGACGGCGGCGCTGTCGTCGGTCGACGGTCGTCGTTTTTGTGACGTCACGGCCCGCGGACATCAGAGGTGCCGCCGGCGGGGAAAAACGACGGCGGCGCGCGCCTCGGGGGAACGGCGGTGGCGACGACACGCCGGCCGCCAGAAAACAAACAGGGCAGGGGCGGCGGCGGCCGGCCGCATGGCGCCGTTTTTACGGCCGTAAAATTAACCTGGGAGTGTGCGGTTGTGATGGTCACCGCCGCTGTCTCCGCCCCCGCCGCATGGGACCGGGGTGAATGTGGATTTTCCTATTAATGCCTGGTGAGCCGGTCCGCGCGACCTGATTAAAATCTGCATCTGTTTTGGGAAGGTCTTTTTGTGCCATTTTTTTTTCGGACTGCCATCCGATGTGCTAATCGGTTCACCGGTCGTCTCTCCGGGCGAACAGGAGACTCCCTTTTTGGAAAACTGATCGCCCGTGCCGCCCCATCCGCTCTGTTCAAAGCCGGCCGCAGTTCAAACCCCGTCAGCGGTGTCCAGTGGCGAGCGGTGCCGGCGGCAGTCTCAGGGCGGCCGTAACGGCAGCGGTCGCCTCATTAGATGGGGAATGTGAGCGATTCCCCGCCGCTCCGGGTGCTCCTCCACCGGGGGTCGTCCTTTTTACCCACAGAGCGCCGAGCCCCGTTTTTGTGGTGCCGTCTCCGTTTTTCACGAAGCGCCCGACGCGCGGTCTGACGGGTCTGCGGTCGGAGATGGCCTCACTCTACTGTCGTGTTTCGTGTCGTGTCTTGTCGTACATGGGAGTTGGCGAAAAGAGCGAATGTTGACCTGCCGTGATGATGGTACAGCCCCGTCCTTTTTATGGGGCTCCACCTTACTGTATTAAGGTGGAGCTACTCGAACTGGAGTATTGACAATACGCCAGTTCGAGACTGGCGTATTGTCAATACTCGGCATGGCAACGAACACTGTCGAGTGATAGATGAATATTGACCCACTTCTGCTTGATAATGATCAAAGATATTGGTCTTATTGGAAGGCTCGGAGAGAGATAGAGAGGGAGAGAGAGAGGGGGGATGAGGAAGGGAGCGAGAGAGAGAGAGAGAGAGAGAGAGAGAGAGAGAGAGAGAGAGAGAGAGAGAGAGAGAGAGAGAGAGAGAGAGAGAGAGAGAGAGAGAGAGAGAGAGAGATGATTGATTTCGAGTAAGGCTATTAATAGCCGATATTTCGAACAATGGACGTTTAAGGCAGTGGCTGTGTCGTCGACGCGAACCATTTAATGTTCAAACAAGGACTGATGAATGGATTTCACGTGAAACCGCGCCCGAACAATCATTCGGAAAGGATTCGGATCGCTCGAGCGATGACGATTTGTTCCGGATGACTAGGCTGTGATCATGAGAGCTTTCGGCGAGAGCGAGCACAGCGCGCGGCGCCGCCGGAGTTTTCTCCACAGCCCGGAGCGAGCCACTGGACATGTCACCTGAATGGCTTGCCGAGCCATTGCCAGTGAGATATGAAACCACACCACGAGATGTATGTGATTCGCTCGTGTGATTTACTCCTCGAGCTTTCCTGCGATGGTTTCCAACTGCTGGAAGCCGAAAGTGAAATGACGGTGAAAACACCCCGGGGCGTGTGTTGCATGTCTGCAACGAATATCGCATTTTATGTGTGAACCACTTAGTAGAATGTTTATCATAAACCAATATTGCTCACCTCCCAGATGAACTAACACCCGCTGTCTCTGTGTCTCCAGGTGAACGGCCAAGACGTGTCCAAGGCTAGCCACGAGGACGCCGTGCGCGCCTTCCAGTCAGCCCAGGAGCCGATCGTGGTGGAGGTGCTGAGACGTGCCGCCTCCGGGGGACTCCGGAACGACGCCAACCGCAACGTCAAACCCGCCGGAGAGACATCAGTGGAGGAGGTAAGAAAAGGGAGGAGAGATGTGGAAGGGGAAGGAAGAGAGGCACGGAGAGAGAGAGAGAGAGAGAGAGAGAGAGAGAGAGAGAGAGAGAGAGAGAGAGAGAGAGAGAGAGAGAGAGGGGAGAGAGAGAGAGAGAGAGGCTGGTGCCCCTGGGTTGTGGTTGTTAGCGTTTGGATGAATACCGTTGTCGCCGGCCAGGGAAGATTTGCAATATTGCATTCCGCTAGACATTGATGCTCCAAATAACAAAATGTTTATTATCGAGCGATCCACATTTCAGTGCAATCAGTGTTATGCAGTAGTGTGCAGCAACGTGCAGTTGGCTTAGTGAAGAACAACAACAACTTCTGTGCTTGCTGTATATAAATGCGATAAATTTAAATTGATAATTTCGATAGGTAGTACTCATCCGACCACACGTAATACGTACCCCGTAAACGTATTCGCTATTTATCGTAACCTCTGTGGGGGCCAGTCCCAGACACATATAAACTACAGTCCACGTCTCCCATCTGACGTCTATCACACTGAAGGATAAGCGGTAGTCTCCGGCTGGGCTGCACGTTTTTGTGGAGGCTGGTCCGACTGACTGTGAGATGGATGGCTTCCAGCACATTTAGCCGCTATCGCTGTATGTGAAATATCGCTGTCGGTGTGATAGGTGGTCGGTCCTGGACGCTGTCACCGTCAAGGTGATTATCGCTGCGCTATAAAATAGCCGGCGTCAATGCCGGGCGTTTGCAGTCCATCTGGGAAACTCAGAAGCGTGGATTTCAAACACGTAGGACTACTACGTGCATAATTGCTGCACTCTGCTTTCTATCAAATGAATGCAGATAGCGTATTTTTCAGATCCACTGCTAATTGACACTGGAAATTTCCATCTACTTTCTATTTTGAATGATTTCTGGTAGCACTTCTGCTGACAAGTTGATTGCAATCTCCACTTTGCTGTGACAGCTGCTATAAAACAGAACAATGTATGGCAAGGCCGACATTTCCTCCAATTTTGACTCAGTCAGCTGGCGTTTGCTGAACTTGGTCGTTGGCCAACATCTTATCAAAACTAATTCCTGTATTTCTTGTTTCCTATAGATAATCCCAATCGTATATGCGGTGATGGTCACCCTTAAGGAGAACGTCATAAAGTAACGATAAACGACCTTTATAATTATCGTCGGACAGAAATGTGTACGATTCATGCGCTCATAACCCTTAGATCTTATCATTAATCAGTCGTTACATTCGTACTCTTCCCGCTTGGTTGGTACCTAACGTGAACGGTGGAGAGACGTACCCAGATGCAGTTTTTATCCTCACCCACAAAGTGTGATCTGACCTGACCTGACCTGACCCGTCCCACAGGGTGTCACCGTGTCGACACAGACGGACCCGTGGAACTGGCCGTGCTCGCCCGAGTTTCCTCCGGCGCCCGCCTTCCTGGACGACGACGACATCGACGAGAGTTTCGAGGACGGCGGCGACCCGGAGGTCGACTTTGAGGTGAGCGAAACGGTACATAAAAACTCCCGTGTACCCAAGATACCAAAGATCGGTGCTACGTACCAAATATTGATAGCAATCAGCCATGAATCGGTTGTTGAAAATAGTTTGCTGCAATCTTCCAAATCATCTGAAATGGAAGTAGCTTTGCAACATGTTAAAATTGTAATGCGGCGGCCTTTTTGCGTCAATATCGGCCGCAGACCGCCACGTTACGACGCTCACCGGATCGGGGCGCTATTTTCTGACCGATCTCCCATCGCCATCGCCTCTCTCAGCCCGAGGGCGTTATTTTCTGACCGGTCTGTTGTTGTCTGCTGGCCAAATTGGGCTGCGTCGGCGGCTCCCGGTGCGACTGGCGCCGGACACTGTTTGCCGAGACAGCGGGGCATGTTTGCGTCTCTGCGCCGCGCTGTCCCACGCCGGCAGCGGGAGACGTGAACGGGTTGGGATGGTAAAGGAGGGCGGTGGAGAGGTAGTGAAGGGGTGTGCTTGCAGTAGTCCTCGGGGTTTTACAGGGGCTGCACTAGAGGCTAAAGTGGTCTGACGGGCATCGGGATAAATGCAAGTGCTGTGATGGACATATGAGGAGACTGTCCGGTAGTGATGAGGGACTAGGGAGGCTTTACTGAGGAGGCATGGACCAGGAATGAAGTCGAGAGGGACGAATGCCCACCATGCTAGTCTGTTCATGAATATGTCACCGTTCCGTTATTACTATCAGGTTTAATTGTAATTGTTTGATTGAAATCACTGAAGTAAGCAATGGGGTAGCAGTAACAATTACACTAAACAATAGTCCGGCAACTACAATGTATTGCCTCTGACTTCCTAGCATTTCACGCATTCTTCCTTGTAGCGTTGCCATAGCAACTCGCGACGATTGGGTCCGGGCCAGAAGTCGTCGTCATTATTGTTTCCGTGTTATTGAAAGATGGTGTCGGCGATACCGTCGCGGCGGTGTGTTATCTCGGCGCGCGCTGCTGCCAGATGGGATTGAGTTGCCAGATGGGTGTGCCGATAGTGGCGCACAGGCTGAATGGCGGCGAAATAGGCGCGTGTGCGCGATCCGGCTATCGGTGCGATCTGTACCGGCCTCGCGCGGACGAACAGAAGACCAATGTTTGTCGCAGGAAGTTCAAACGGCGCCGCCGCCACCGCCCGCTGTCGTGTCTCCTCCCCTGTGTCACGGCTGTGCTGGTCCGTTCTTCCGTCTGTTACGCAGCTGTTACCGCATCGGTCGTGGCGTACGGTTTTCTCCCCTTGCTTCCAGCATCCATCAGAAAACAGACCCTGTACGCCTCAACCGACCGACGTTTTCCGATGGATGTCACGTTCTCCTAGTCACGTCCGATTAGGCCCTGGGCCACCCCATCGGCTGTATTTTGTCCACCCCTCCGTCTCTCAGCCGTCCCTCGTCCCAGGGGTCCGGGGAGCGGCGCACCTCTCTGTTCTCTTTACTTTTCTTTGCTGGTGGAGGTACCTCCTGGGGACTGGTCGGGAAAGGCTGCCAGAATCTGCTTACGGCCTTGCAAATCCTTTCGCTCACTCTGACCAGCTCAGTCAACGATCGCATTGCGTTGAATCCTAATGTTTGTGTTGCTAGTCTTAGTGACCATGCCCGTCCCTCCATGCCTATTTGACCTACTCACCTCCCGGCTTTGTTTCGAATTTTGACTCTTTTGTTCTTGTTGTATCCCCCGATAGCGCCAGTTTCGTATTTAGGAACCCCGTCCTCAGCCTCTTCGGCTATGTCTTCAGTAGCGTCCCAACATCCTCAGTCACGTCTCGAGCCTCTTCCCAAACTCCCAGGTCGTCCCTTCCGTCCCCCTTTGTCCCCATCCCCGGGACCGGCCCAATATATCAAATTACGTCGCCTGATTGGCGCTGGCCGACGATCGGAGCGGCCAAATCGACGCGGACGTGCGCCAAATCGACGCGGACGTGCGTCGACGCTCCCTCTGTTCTTTGAGGGGCTTCAGGGACCCCGGGACGAAACGGGATCGGGTGGGACGAAACGGGTGTCTGGTGTCTGGCCAAGGCGGCGGAGAGTTCAGGATATGACCAGAGGTCACAGACTGGGACCAGTCGGCGACTCCCCGGACGACACTGGCGCCAGCACTGGTCCGTTGCAGTGCAATCACGGACGATCTTGATTTCCCAGTGCTGCGAGTTGAAGAGGGAAAATGGAGCTCGAGCGGCTGTCAATGAAACTGCAGACGAGCGAAGTTTACAATGACCTGGTGCTGAATTGCGAAATGGATCGGTAGTTACTTTTGAAGTGTATTTCCATAGGGTTTAAATGAGCTACTTAAATAAGCTTCTTTACATTGAACTTTTTATATTGAAATTAGGTGTGTTTCAGAAATAGTAACCTATGTAAAAAAAATTAATTGCAGCAGAAATAACCACAAACAAATACCTACATAATTCAAGTAGTGTTCCGATAAGAAACCTGAGTTGTTTTAAAGCAAATCAAACGGCTATTTTACTGTGCAAATGTGCTTACGTATAATGCTGCGCAGTGCTCATGAGCTGGAAGCTCGCTTATCAACTATCAGATAGTTCATCTTCCCATAGCAACCTCTATCACTAATCACCCCTCCCCCTCTTGCAGGAGGTGACTCTGCACCGGTCATCGACCTCGGAGCGGCTCGGGCTGACCCTCTACTACCCGGACGGTGACGAGGCGCCCGACGAGACCGACGTTCTGGTGCGCGGCGTCGAGGCGGGAGGAATCGCCGCCCGCGACGGCCGCATCCAGCCCGGAGATCAGATTATACAGGTGAGACGGGGCAGGTCAGGTCAGGTCGTCTGTCCTTATCCAGCCCGGCGACCAAACCATACAGATACGACAGGTCACGGTGAGGTCAAAAATATCCCAGGTGAGCAAGTCATTCAGGTAAAGGATGGCTCAGATCGTTTCAGATTGAGGTCTGATCTCATCCAGCCTTCTGGTTTGCTTGGATTGCGGGTCAGGTCGGCTTAGAGTGCTCTCTGCTCACTGCTCAGGTGCAGGTGTTGCATTGTAATAATGAAGTCTTATACAGACGACGTGCCATCATCAATGCGGTGACAGATCTTTAATATGTTCAACGCACCGTGATTGACGGAGAGAAAGTTAGGTCGGGTAGGTCAGGTTTTCTTTCATTTGCGGTCATATTTTGCCGGCGTCTTGATATGCGTCAAATTGTGTCATTACATCACCAAGGGCATGTTTCAGTCATTTCCCACATCCGAAGCCAGTCTGGGTCCATTAGAAAAGACGCGTTCATGCGTTTTTAATGTCACCGTGTGAACTAGACCGGGGGATTACTTCACGCAACCTGGGCTAATTTGGAATGCTGATTTGCGCCGAGCATATACGCGCTTATTTGGAGAACACGCGGTACGCAGCTAATGCAGAATAAACTAGGCGCCGGAAATAATGTCATCAGCTCGCCTCTCAGCCGTCTTATATGCTTCTAACGCAACCGTTCGTGCCTTCCACCAAAATCGTGAGAATCAACTCCTCAGACTCGTTCCCGGTAGCTTATTACATGACGCCGAGGCAGGGTTGTGCTTGACTCATGAGTCGAGTCAGAAATTTGACTCAACTCTGACTCAGATGAGTCAGGTTTGAGTCGAGTCGGATGAAATGTCGAGCTGTTGAGTTGAGTCAGAGTTGAGTCAGACAAAAATATTAACGTGTTGAGTTGAGTCAGAGTTGAGTCAGTAAAATAACTTTTGACATTGAGTTAAGTCAAAAACATTTAGGAACATGAGTCAGCTGACTCATCTTTCTAGAAACAATATATAAGCTTTTCATTCTCCCCCGCTTAACAACTTAGGCCTGGCCCTGCTGCCGGAATTTTTTTTTTCACCCCCCCCCCGCTCAACAACTTTTTTATCTGAGTCAATTTTGAGTCAACACACTTGACTCAACAAAAAATTTGAGTCAGGTTTGAGTCAACTCATATTTTCATTGAGCCGCTTGAGTCATGAGTCAAGTCAAGGGAAAAAATCAACTCCTTGTTTGAGTCAGAGTTGAGTCAGGGCCTGCTGAAGTTGAATGATGAGTCGAGTCGGCAAATTTTTTTGAGTCGAGCACAACCCTGCGCCGAGGCGTCAGGCGCCGATGACTGCAAGGTTGTCGATGATCTCAACCCTCGTCTAAGTCGATGTGTCTGCGGAGTTGTGTGCGCCGACAGACTGCAGATAGACAGCCTCTATCACTCTTACGGTCTGTCTCACCGTCTCAGTATGGACGGGTGCCTCCGATCTCATCAGTATCGGGGTCAGGACAGGAGCGAGCGATCGGGTCAGCGGCGCGCCCGGTGCCACCGGCCGCGGCGCGCCTCTGAAGTGTTGTTTGGTATGTGGAGAGGTGGCGGGCTGTCAGTGAGAGGACGCGTCCCGCGTCGAGTGTTGATGGTATGTGAGCGGCGCTGCGGAGACGGAGGACAGGCGTGTGTCTTCACAGACTGGATCAACCAGCGGCGGGCAGCGGAAGAAGGGGAGAGGGAAAGGGAAGGGAAAGAGAAAAGACCTTATTACAATGATGACCGAGGCTCCACAATAGATAGTAGGTCACGGAGCACTTGTAGCACTTACCGATGACATTTACAATTTATATTTCGCACCCTAATTGAAGTTCTATAGGTTCGTAGTGCGTTCATATTCGTGACTGGTTACCATTTTCGCACCCCGCTTAGTATTGTCACTGCGTGGTCACCCTTCCTCGCGGAGGGGCCCGTCCAGCTGGGTCCCCACAGACCCCCGCCGGTCCCCTGACCGACCCGTGTCCCGGCCGTACCCCGTCCGCCACCCTCCCGTTATTTGTTTGTGTTGTGCGCTACACACGCTGGCATCTCCCCACGCCACCGGCTGTCCCGCGGAGCTGGTGCCGGAGGACCGACGGCTGGGTCACGCCAGGTCAGGGATCAGAGGCGCCGCCACTGCCGGCTGCTGAGGGCGCTCGCTGCCCGCTGACTTCCCGCTGACCGCTGACCGCTCTGACCGCCGATTATGCCGCCCGCTTCCCGCTCCGAGTCTTCACGCTGTTTGCTGATCGTTTGGTCATTGACTGCTGATGGGCCTTCCATTGCCAACTGACTGCTGACCGGTAATATTTGTCCTCTCTCCGCAGATAAATGGCGAGGAGGTGGCCAGCAAGGAGCAGGCAGAGCGGCTGCTCTCCTCGCGAGCGGACGTCGTCCTGCTACTCTGCCGTCCCGTGGAACAGGTGAGCTGGGGACGTGCGTCTTATAACCACCATGTATTGTTCCGCGTCTCCGCCTAGCATGTTAGCTGGGGACGGGCCGGGTCTCTCGGCTTCAGTTGTTGCTGAATTGAATGCATATGAAGGAGAAGGGCTGAACGGCAATGGGCGTTGTTGAATGACGCTATACCTTACTGTTGGCTCTGCCATAGGCGGTATTGACAGATCATAGAATGACGCGTCACCTTCTATCTTGCACTCTACCATCTATCGCGCCCGCAAATTCACCGTCATGACTCTCCCCTCATCATTCACCGCCAAGCACCATGACCGTTTGCACAGGGCCGTTCCAAAACACTTGTGACCGGCCGGGTGCCGTTTCACGGGAGCGTTATTCAACCGGGCACTTGGTGGCTCAACAAGGTGTCGATGTATGGCTCGGGCTACTGCAGGCCGGCAGAGGGCTGGATACCGCCACTGCAGTGCCAGATAAGACGGGCCGGCGCGCGGGCCGCCGTAACTCGCTGTGGCGCCTGTTTGCTGACCGGCTGATCAGCCCAGCCTGTTTATCTGCGTGACGGTCACGTACCGGTGATGGGGCATGACTCACTCACCACCGTCCGTCCGCGGGTACCGCGCGCGACCAGAGCCGCATCTGAATGCGAAATCGCCGGCGCTAAGTGTTATATGTGTGCTTTGTAATATGGTCGTGTCGACGGGCATTGTCGGCCCGTCAAGCACGACGCTGCCAATGGGACGGGTCGACGGGAAAGGTGTTATTGCGGGCCGCGGTCAGCCACGCGCGGCTCGGCTCATGTCGGGCCTAGACGGGTCTATTGGCATATTTGCATAAATTGCCTGTATGCTGGCTTCGAGATAGCAGAACCCGAGGATTGATTGGATAAGCAAGGGTTTTATTTCACTTGTTTATCTTGGTGGCATTAAAGATGTTTATCTTGCTGACTTAATAGATAAGCGAGACGATGGACAGGGGTTTCGCAGATATTCCTGTCATGAAAACGCGAGATAATGCTGATATGCGCCAGCAGTATTTATTGTCAAAACGATGGGCCGTACCGTATTCAGAATTGAGCTCGGTTGATTTAACGATATTTATGCGTCGGGCTCTGTCGGGCCCTGAATACTAACTACGTCCCTGCTAGTTCCATAAATACCCTATCAGAAATTTGAGACTCATGCGGGACGACGTGCACGACCATTGGCGAGTGTTTATTTAATCGGTCGCCAATTGTTTGCCGGTTGCCGAAATTGAATAATCTACCAATACATTTGAAGCGTGTCGTTGTGGGCGGCCGTTAATTGTTATTCTCTGTCGGCTGAGGGCGGCAATAGGTATCGATCAGTCACTTGGAGGGGTCGACGGCAGTAAGTCATTTTGGACGGGGCTGGGGCACTCGGCCAGGGTCGCAGCGGACACGGCTCGGCGTGCCCGGCCGCGTGACGGACCGGCCATACGTCACCCGGGCCCAGGCACTGTAAGTACGCTGGGCGGTCGTGCACCTAGTCCTACTCCTAATGAATAGCTTTGGAAGCGGATGTGATTTAGAATCGTCAACCTATTTCTTCTGCCTGGTTTTCGTGTCGAATGTCCCCATTTATTTGAGCAAAATTCATTCGTAGTCGTGTCTGACTTCACTGGATATCTATTGTCTAATTTGCACAGATGGACGTCAAAAGTGCGGTTTCATTAGTAAGTTTTATTCTGAAACGGTTATCTTATCCTGAGTTTCTGTAATCCAGCAACTTCTATCCCTCCTGTCGCCCCCATACAATTTTACTATCCTTTCGTTCCACTCTGTCCTATCTGGGTCGTGTTGGGTCGCGACCGGCCAATTTAGCCGTCGGCTCGCACCGGCAGTCGTTCTCGCCTCGGGGTCGGTGTTGTGCCCTGTAATTCGCCGGCCCCAGACGGGAATCGAGCCATTATTGGCGGGCGTTTTTTCCGACGCCATCTGTCGCCGTCAATAGCTGACGCTGATGTTGACGGGTAAAAACGCCCGGCGGGTTTTTAGTCGCTCGGCCGGCGCGCGTTTGTTTACCGCTGCGGCCGTGTTTTGGTTCGCCCCATGTCACTCTGGCCGATCGTGCCGACAAATATCGGCCAGATGTTCCGACACGGCGTGTCAGACCCGCCGGGGTCAGCCGGCGAGCCGGTGTTTGAGGCAGATGTGTTCTGTTTCAGGCGAATGATGATCTCCCCGTGGAGCAGAATGAGGCCGATCAGGGCAGCAGGTCACCCCAGGTCATCTGTCGACAGCCCCTCGACAACAGGTTAGTCCTTTTACCGGCTAGATTGGGACGATCGTTCTGTGCATCACTCTTTACTTATTGATCAGTTTGGATTGCTAGTAACTGGCTTGCTGTGGCATCTTCTTAAAAACAAATGTTGTAACCTTGGTTGAAGATACAAATACCATGTAAAAATTATATTATTTTGCTGCTGCCTCGAAGTTCTTACCGATCGTTACTATGACTGACCAATATATTTTTTCCGTTTGCCAGGGTGACGGAGGGCCTGTCGCCGTCCGCGGACATCTCCGGTGACCGGGGAGGTTCTCTGGAGAAGCGTGACACCATGAAGAGCGGCGGCAGCAGCAGCAGCGGCAGCAGCGCCGGCTCGCGAGGTCGCCGCTCCGCGCCCGCGCCCGCTCCCACCCCGTCCCTGCCAGCCGGCGAGCTCACCATGGACCGCGAGCTGTACCTGGTCAACAAACAGATGGCCTCCATCCAGCAGGAGTGCGAGTCGCTGGCTCGGCGGCAGCACGGAGAGCGGCCCCTGGTGCCCGTCCCCGAGCGGAGACCGCAGGTCGAGGACCACATCTACGAGACGATCCCTGAGTGCAGTGAGTCGGACGAGCCACTCTACTGCCAGCCCTACACTCCTGCGGCGCTGCCGGCGCGGAGTGCGCCGGAATCCCGCTCACGGCGAGATGTCGAACGCTGGATCAAGGCAAGCGTGACGCCGCCCGAGCCGGAGCCGTGGCACGGCACCAGCTCGACCAACGACAGCCAGAGCAGTGCCGAGGGCCGGCCGAGACGCCCCGGTAAGGAGGAGGAGAAGGACAGCTCGAGCGCGTACAACACGGGCGACTCGGGACGCAGCGGGGCACTCACGCTCGAGCTCGGCCTGGTGACGGACGAGGCGAGCCGGGAGATGCGGGAGTCCACCCTGACCCTGTCTGCGCCGCCGGCGGCACCCACCCGCGACCTCTCCCTGCAGGTCAGCCTCGACTCAGATACCTACAGCGAGGTCTCCTGCAAGAACTGCCGCAAGTGCATGCGCCTGCCGCCACTCCAGCAGACGCCCACCAAGAACAAGAACGTCATCAACAGCGTCAACACGGTGGAGAAGAACAAGAACTATGTGACGTTTCTGCCGTACCAAACGCACTACACGAACGCAGAGAACCTGCAGGAGACGATCCAGCGCCAGCAGCGCCAGCTCTACCAGCAGATCATGCGCAAGAGCCAGCGCAGCTCGCAGCCGTGCAGTCCCAGCCAGCCGGTGGGCCGGCCGCCTGCGCCGTTCGCCAACTCTCTGCAGCAGTACCGCTACGTCAGCTCCCCTGGCGGCGCCGGCCGGAACCACAGCCACACACTGCCGGCCGATAGAGGACAGGACGAGTCGCCGCAGTTCCAGTACAAGGTGAAGGTGCGATCGGATGGCTCGCGCTACATCGCTCGACGACCGGTCCGCAAACAGCTGCTCAAGGACCGGGCGGCCAGAATCTCCGAGGAGCGAGCAGGGATCACCACTGACGACGACGCCATGTCCGAACTCAAGGTGAGAGCGGACTGTAGGGGAGAGCTCATTGTGAGAACAGGAGGTAGTTCAGTGAGATAAGAGATGGTTCCATGTGAGAACACTGGAGGAAGCTCATTGTCAGAGTGCCCCCCATCCCCTGTGGTAACACGTCTTGTGTGCTGCTGAAAGATGCCAATTGTATGTAGATAGCTTCGAGCTACGGTAGAAATGTTCAGTTCCTCGGTCCATTTTGTTCACTTTAGTTTTGCGACCGACAAATGGCTGCTACTTGTTACGATGTAAGCGTATTGTGAAGCCGAGGAAGCGATTCCGAGACCAACATGACCGAGAGCTCGGTCGTGAGCTGTCTCTCTGAAATATCACTAACCTGTTTCATTGTCTGATATATCACTGACCTGTCTCCCCCGTATGTCTCCTCCAGCTGGGTCGGTACTGGCCGCGTGACGAGAAAAAGCGCCACCTGGAGCGGGCTCGCGAGCGGAAACAGAAGCAGCAGCAGCGGGCTAAAATGGCCGCCGTGCCCGAGGAGGCCGTCCCAGAGGACGCAGCAGGAGGAAAGAGACAGGTACACGAGTCGATAGTGGGCGGACGGGGGCTGTGTGTGTGTGTTTTTATTGAAGTGTCGTCATCTTGCGAGGATATACGCCAGAAGGGTTTGAATTTGGCTGAGCTACTGACATCGGCCAATCGTATTGATAACTAAACGAAGTCTTCTGCTGACGTTTTTCCTAACGATCCCATCACACGGCCGAAACACTTTTATGAAGTTATAGGGTGGCGTATAGAGGTCCAGATCACACACCATTTGTATTATTGTGTCTGACCGGTTCCGTGTCTGTCTGTTTTCCCAGGTGATCCACCCGCTGCTCGAGGCTAGCATACAGCGGCGCACCTCCTCCGCCTCAATGCGTAAGAAGCCGCACGGACAGGAGGAGTTCCTGAAGCACGCCAAGCCGCCCAAACCGGCCGCCGACGCCCTGCTCTCAGTCACCACGGTGTAGTGGGCAGGCCGCAGTCACCGCCTCACGATACTGCGTGGAGGTGAGGGAAACGGAGGGGGCTGGTGCCGTTTTTGAGTGGATGTCAACTCAAGCTCTTTTGGCGTAAATACGGTCGCTTTTCGCAGTAAGTTATTTCCATTTTATTGCACTAAATAATATTTGGAAAAGTTTGTTCCTTAGATGCAACAAATTATCGGTGAATATCCCCTTGCAAGTATCAATCGAAATGTCTCTACTCTGTTCTCTGCTACTGGCCTGAGCTGACATCTATCCTGCCCTGGTCCGCCACAGGTCGTCTCTGAAGAGTGCTGCCGCAGCTGCGTCGAGCGTCCTGCCTCCCCCCATCTCCATATGAAGCACCCGGCGTGTGTGATAAGGTAGAGACGGGACGGATGGTGGCGCCACCTGTGAAGGTGGTGAATGGACGGCAGCGTCATCTGTGAATACGGTGGGCAGACAGCAGCGCCACCTGTGTGGGCGTGACGCAGATTTGACTGTTTCTCGCACTGTCCCTGGCTAGTCATTCGGTGTGCCGCGTATATATGGGACGAGTGCGGCTATTGGGCCTCATGACCGAGGTGAATTGAGGACTTTGATCGTTGGTGTACTGCTGTGTGAGAGCGATGTGTTGAGGGATTCTCCAGAACCAAACCTGACTGCGGGGTCTGTCATGCGCCGTATGAGGGCGCCGCTAGCGGGGGAGAGATCACTGTGGCGTACGGCGGGATGATCAGGGTATAGAGATGACAGCAGTCGAAACTACGATGCACAGTTGTTCGTTGATAATATGTTGACGACCAGTGAACATATGAGCCGGCTAGGAGGGGCACGATAACGGTCAACTGCCAACTTACCTTCCTATTTCGGTAAAGTCACAGTTCGATGCGCGGATGTTTTCTTTTCTAAGCGGTCATTTGTTTTATCTGTCGAGAGGGGAATGGTCGCACATGTGAATTGGTTCTCTATCAGAGAACACAGAGACGAGTAGAAATACTGTGGCGACCAGCCCTGTGGGTGCGCTCTGTGTCTGCAATTCGGCGAGTCGCTCTTCGCGACCGCCGGTGGAGCGGTCTGCAGAGCGCCCACGTCAGTTCCTCTGTGAGTGAGCGGTAGGGGGACCGGCCGCCGCCGGACCGGGCTGGTTGTGACCCGTGCTCCGCGGCTGGTCCGATGGTCCGTGGTCCGGTGGTTCCTGGTCGGTGGTCTCTGCGCTCCCAGCCCGCGCTGAATTTCTGCTTCGGTCTGTCGGGGCTGACGGCCATCCAAGTGTTACGCTGTGCACGTCCCTGATACGCCAGTTTCATATTTCTGTGATTTTTGTAGTCTTGCGATTCGCTTTGTGCAATGGGATTCAGTGTTGCGCTAAATATAACAGGCATGAATTGGTAGTATTTCTCTAACAAGTACAGCGTGTCCCAGAATTGACCGAACACTGTTAATCAGCGCATAAGATAAGAGAAAAAAATAATTGCACTTTTTTCTTTTTATTGTCCGATATAGCCAATAAGGGTAGCTTCGAAATGGCACATGCAATACGAGACACGCTAGCTACAACATTAGCCGACAATTGTAGCTAAATGCCAGACGATGCTGGCTTCAATGTCAGTGGTAACGCCGCATCCTTGCTCAAACGCGTATCCACGGTTGGCCTCTAGAGCCACGCCGGCCGGCACTGTCGAGCGGTGACCCAACCTGACCTCGCCGGAGGGTTCGTGACGTCACCAGCGGGCCGCCGTGAGCGGGACGGCTGAGGTCCACTCAAAGCGGCCCGGGCGAGTGGAGCGGACCAGCAGCGGTCGCTGCTAAGCACGTTTCCTCCACCAAACTCCTCCAACCATCTGTGTTGGTTTTTATTAACCTTCATTTCTTTACCTCATCGACCGTCTCCTCTCTCTTAACGATCGCCTGGAAGGTGAATGGGATATAAGGGAGAGAGAGACGGCCGGCCGATAAACAGCCAACACATGAGCATGGACCATACGATGCCGAAGCGTTACGGGATTAACTAAAGATAACGCCAGTTATGTTGTTTTACGGGTCTCCCGAAACTGGTTGTAAGACTGTTTTCATTGGCCTCTTGCCGGTGGATACTATAAATATTTTCGATTAGCTTGGCATCCAAACTGTTCCCAGGCCATAAGGCACTCTCTCCCAAAACCAAAAATTCTGCCTACACCACTGTTGCGCTGTTTTTAGACATCTGAAGTGGAGACCCTCCATGCCTTAACATGGCGTGAGTGTGACCTTTGGCTTCCGACAGATTTGGTTTCCAGAACAAACCCGTTTATGGCCATTCAGTTCACGACAACCAGTTTTTTTGTAATGCTTGAATATTACCGCAGTAGCAATCTGTGTTAACGGTCGTCTTCGGGGCATCACGTGAAGCTGAAGGAGCGCACCGTGGCTCAAAATGTCTCACACTTTGATTTTCGACGAGTGCCTGGCCGTCTCGGCTGTTGGGGCGTTGTTACCATGTGACGTCCACACACGACTTTTTTGTCGCTTCAAAGGGCAGAATACCTTCGTAAGACCACAAAGTGTATTTCCATTCACTTTTTTGTTGCATATGTTATTATTTATGGCTGCTTTGTAGCGATTTGCGCTGTCTTTCCGTTAGTTTTGGCATATTTTTCAGATGGGGGCCCAAATTCCAAAATTTTGTCGAAGATAGTGGTCAAAAGCAGACTGATGTTTCGTAGCTAACCCTGATCTGTCGTTTAGCTTGTTTTTGGGTAGATGGGTGGCGTTTGTTGTCCATGACATGGCAACCACCTGCTTGACGACTGGTGCATGCTCCTTTTTGGTCGCGCCCAGGCTTGTCGATCAGGTTATCTCTTGCTCTTTCTGGCTTCGCTCGCTGATATAACTGCGGTTTGCTCACCCCTGCCTGCTTGCAAATGAGCTACTGGAGCTCTCCAGCAAAAACCATGCCGAAAGTCCGTTTACGAACTTCAGAATTGCACTTTATTCACCATTATTGCCTTTTGTTTGCTGAGGCTGAAAACAAAAAGGGACTACTCTTTGTTGACTCTGGATTTGTTTGTTTTGTTGGGTTAGGCCCTTTCGGTCGACAAGACCATTGCAGAGCCGGAAGGATGATAGGAATTAGGGGGAGACATTGGTCTGGGCAGGCACCCTAGAGAGTCGCCGGGGCTGAGCCCGTCCAAATGGACAGGCCGACCAGCCCCCCTAGCACTCTCTGCACCCGGCTACGGGGTGCAGCTCCCTCGGGAGCAGCGGTGCCGCTCCAAGGGAGCAGCCCGCATGAGATAAAGTTGCCTGTCCAACCCGGTAGGGGGTTGCGGCGTGGAGGAGAAGGATTTCTGTATCCTGAGGATAGAAGCACGGATAGGTGGCTCTGGATAATAACTGACTCGAGTCGTGACCGGTCACCGAAAACACACAGTCTCCAAGCTCGATAGCTAAGGTACAGGGTGTTCCAAAAAAGTGAGCCCCCCAACTAAGATCGACTGTATCTCTGCAACCGTGCATTCTACAGCTTTGGAAAGCCGCTCATTAGAAAGAGCAATCAAATTCCATCTAGATAGGCCGTAATTCCATTACATATCTTGCACAACACGGCCAGCATTGTAAAAAGCACAATTCAATACCAAATTATTGGTGAAACATTTAGCTGTAAGGGATATGGTTGATATTTCTTCACAACTGACTGCATATTTCAGTTCACGTGGTTTTATGTATTCATTCTTTGCACGTGAACTTTTATCATAAAAATTGAAAGCTGAATGGATGACCTAGTTCAACCAGTATTTTGACCACTCCGTCCAATATCGGTCGTGCGTTGCCGTCAGCAATACACGTTTATCGCCGTCGCCGTGTTTCACCCGATCTCGCAACACATTTTGTTCTGGTCGTTCTCGGTGTAATATGTAATCATTCAGAGCCACACTAGGTAGCCTACTAGAACTGAAATTGACCGTTCTTTCCAACAAGGGGTCTCTCATTATCGTAGGACATACGGTTTCGGAGATAAAAGCAATATAAGTTAGGGGGCTCACTTTTTTTGGAACACCCTGTATGTCTTATATAAGTATAATGCTCGTATCTAATAAGAATCGAGCGCAATCGTACTTTTAGCCAGGAAATAAATATTCGGTCAATTCTGGGACACCTTGTACAGTGGTGTAAAGGTCATTCTCCGCTGCAGAAGATTAGAAGATTGCTGGGGATGCATTGAAGATAGAGAGCTGAAAGTTAGCATGCCTTGCTTTTGAATCAACCCGAATCTTGTGACACCACGGTATTTTCAGGTCGTCAGGCTATGACACTAACCTATGAAGTCATTAGCAAGCCTCTGCATGATCCTAAAATATCGCAACTTTGCGACACCTCGATACCAGCAGACCCACTTCTGGCTCCGGACACAGATTACTATTTCTGATTTATTATCAGACTTATCAGACTTATTTCTTACCCGGAAACCTTCGATGAATTGATTTTGCTGCCCCGGTTGTGTTATTTCTGTGGCAAAAATGCGGGTAAACTTCTTGACTAGCCGTGCGTGTAGCGTAGCGTGTTGGCATGCCCCTACTCTACCCAATATCCAGGTCGAGAACAAACCAGGTGATACTGTTGTAAGACTTTCATAGTTTATTTATCGACGTCGTACTACATGATAAATGAGTATATACAAAGTTGGGTAATATTTATACAAACAAGGTACATGTGTTTGTTTTGGTCCGGTACGGGCAGTGCTCCGAATGGACGGAATGGCCGAGCATCTCTCACGAAGCCTCGCTGTGGACACGCGCATGGTATAAAACGTCCACAAGATTAAAAATGTCACACATATGACACAAACACTTGCCGGATGTGACCATTTCACTGGGCTATACAAAAGCCAATGGCACAACAGTTTTTTCATTCTCCTTTCAACTTGGTGTAAAAATCAGTCCAATACGAACGAACAAAATGTTTCTAAAAACGCTCCTCAATGATCCGATAAACAAAATTGGTACTATCTTCAAAATGATCAATAGGGTAAAAACTGCCAGTTTCGTCTATCTGTGGCACTTATCCTTTAAACACCCATGTAAAAAAAAAATGATAAAAAGCCAGTGGACAAATCTGGAAACCCCATCGGAAGGCTAGCATCTGTAAAACGACGAATGGGTGATATGGTGATGACCCCATACAGTACGCACAAAGCAGACAACGTCCCTGACACGTGTGAGCACCGTGTGTGGCCCAGTGGAGCCTGATTACGCCAGTAGGCAATAGCGCACCTGATGTGACACTCTCGCCCAGAGGACACTGTTGCCTGGAGTGCTCCGGCCCAGGAGACACCGTCGCCCTGGCTGCAATTCACTCAAAGACAAGCGCACAGTCTCACGGTGTTCTGGGGCGCATCAACTGCCGCACGTCATCCCAGCACCTTTCACAGCGCCATCACACCCCAACAGTGAGCTGCTGATGACCTCACACGACCGGAACCTCGCGCTGACCTCGCTCCAGAGCTGCGAGTGTGTCCAGTCGGGCGCTACAGACGACTGTTGTACTCGTAGAACTGGTTGTTGTCGATGGCGAGGTTGTCGAAGCCCTGCCGGGTGCCGGCCTTCTCCCGCATCTCAATGTTCTCAGAGTGTTTGTACCACTCGTCCGTCTCCCGGAACGACTGTGAACAGAGCAGCAGAGGTCAGTGGAGTGGACGGGCAGAGGCCAGCGGAGTGGCCGTGGACTGTGGAGTGTGGACGGACAGAGCCGACCTGAAGTCAGTGGAGTGGACAGGATGGATAAAACCAACTCGTGAGGAAGTTAACATGAAGTGGACAGAGCATGACGATCAGTGTAGTGGACAGTGTGGACGGAGGCAACCAGATGTCAGTGGTGTGGTAATGTGGACACTGTGGACGGAGCCGATCAAAGGTCAGTGGAGTGGACAGTGTGGACAGAGCCGACCAGAGCTGTCAGATTCAACGCAGCCAGGTCAGTGGCGTGGATCGGGCCAACGAAACACGTCGCATAGGTAGTAGGCGGACTAGAAACAAGTGGCGCGGACGCAGCCAATAACGGGCACGTGAGGCGAGCTCAAGACAGACTTGATAACGGGGACAAAGATCAGGCGGGGTGCCATAAGAGGGACCGAATACGCGTATACGGTTTACGGCGTTAGAATTAAAATAATTACGAGCGAGCGAGCGCAGCGAGCGAAGTGAGTCTTTTCAATATAACGGAAAAATCTCAGTATGAGCGGCCCGGCCCGGCCTGTAACGCTTTTGAGAGGCTTATATCTCAGCAACCGCTGGACCGATTGGCCTGCGGTCTTTTTTGTTGGGAAGCCCCATCCCTTCTACCCCGTAATTGACTACTTTTGATACATCTCAGTGACCGTCGTGGCACGTGCCACGTGAGAAGTCAAGGGTGTTCAAGCTGTTTTGCAAAAGTAGTGATTTTGATAGGCTCATATCTCAGCAGCCGCTTGGGCGATTGACTTGCGGTAATTTTTGTAGGGTAGCAGCATCCCTTCTACCCAAAATAGGATAGTCTCGATGCATGTGGGTCACCCCCAGTGCACGTGCAAAATACAACAATAAGAGGTGCCAAATTTGTTCCCATTTCAGTAACTCGGTAATTACTGGGGCGATTTCGCTGAAACTTGGCATACAGGTAGGCACCCACCAGGCAATGCATTCCCATGTGTTGCGGTTAGAGTGCTACTGCACGTGCGCACGTGCAGGGGGCGTTTCCAGATCTCGAGAACGGCTGGGCCGATTGCGCTCAAATTTGGTACACGGTTGGGGACCAGTTAGTAGGGTGCCGTGCAAAAGTCATTTTGGACCCCGTTTGCACGTGCGCACGTGCAGAATGCCGCTTCCAGATCTCAGGAACGGCTGGGCCGATTGCGTTCAAATTTGGCACACCGCTAGCGACCGGTTAGAAGGGTGCTTTGCGCAAGCCCGTTGGAAGCACCCTCTCACCCTTCCGCACGTGCAGGGCTCACTATCTCGCTCGCTCGTTCTTCGCCCAAAAGGCGTTTTACTGGTAATGCAGTAACCAGTTGTTGGATGAACTAACTACGCAAGGTATGTATGAAACAGAAACGATCGCTTGCTGTAAATTAGCTTGTTCATTACAATGAGGCACTTGTCGTTTCCAAGTTACTTGATCGCTTTTAAGTTCAATGACACTCTTATCCCCTCTTGAAAGCATCGACTTCTTGATCAAACAAATCTTAGTTTACTCCTAGAACTGGTAAACAGCTTCACAGCGCACCGGCTTTGTAAGGAAGAGCGCTTTTAGGTTTAATCTGGCCAACTCACCGCCAGGACGTTGCCCTTCTGGACGAAGATGACGTCCGCGAGGAATCCCAGCGGCACCACGGCGATGATGATGATGGCCATGCACCAGCCGATGACGTTGGCCCAGAAGGGGTAGACGTAGCCGCCCGACTCCAGCGGCGTCCAGTCGATCCAGCTCAGCACGAGAATTACCTGCGGGGGACGGAGATGGGTACTTAGAACACAACTCAAGGGGGTGCTGGGGTGTCTCACCATCCGGCCCGACCTGTGACTGGGCCGAAAGACGACGCAGAGAACAGTGCGCGTATAGTAACAATCAGAACATGAAACTTTGGGAATTTTGGGAGACGCTATATCCTTCACAGCGCAGCATTTGTACTTTCAATGTCTTTCAGTGGGCTTCCAGTGTCCTTCCCTTCCTTTCCTCAGTCTCCCTCCCTTCCCTCCCCGGTCTCATTCCCTTTCATTTCCTTAGCCTCCTTTCCTTCCTTCCCTCAGTCTCCCTCCCCAACCCACCGAGATCAGAGCCGGCGATAGCGTGCCGTAGACGACCGTGATGTGGGAGCGCAGCCGCAGGCCCGGGCTAAAGCCCTGGATGTTCTCCAGGTCGCGGTAGAACTTGCCGACGCCGTACACCCAGTACATGGCGATTAGCTCCATCAGGCCGATGAAGAGGTAAGGCCAGCCGGCCGCGTAGGTGTCCATCAAGTCGATGATGTAGCGCCCACCCTGCCGGAGAAGCGCACCGGTTAGTAATCGGTGGTGGTTTGAAGCGGGGAGTGCATGAGTTGGGCGAGTGAAAGTGATGCCTGGCTAAACGTCCCTTACCAGTCTCGATTACCTCAGGGATCAATTATCAATTACTCTGAATACAGTCTGATCAAATCATCGAAAATGGCAATATGTTTCAGTATCGATAAAGTATAATCGATAAACTTTTCTCAGCTTTCAGGATAAGCCAGCATGTAACCTTCCAAGGCTTAGTGCTATATCAGACTTGAAGGAAGAAAGAAATGCAGTGGCACCACTGATCAGAATTCTGATCAGTCCTGAAAGAATAGCTGAGCGTCTCATTGATGTCACCGTCGTCTGGACAATGCCAGTGATAAAATGCACAGTTGTTTGCTTGAAAACTGACGCGTAGCACCTCACGACGTGACGCTACGTGACGCTCCGTGACGTCTCACCTGCGTAGTGAGCGGGATGCCGAGGAGGAAGAGGACGACGCACACGCCGACCACCACCCAGGGCTTCTTGGGCCGCAGCTGCGGAAACTCGTCCAGGATGCAGGTGATGATGTTCTCCACGATGGCGAACTGGGAGTCGAGGCCGAGCGTGAAGAGCATCAGGAAGAAGAGGAGCGCCCAGAGAGTGGACACGGGCAGACGAGTGACCAGGTCCGGGTAGGCCACGAACGCTAGACCTGCGCGCAGACGGGGAACATGCGGTTAGAATAGACACTGCTGGTGCGGTGCATAGCACCTGAACCCAGGATGAAGGAAACTACAAAAAAAAACGTGTGATGTCCGAACAAAGCGCATTTGTGTAAGCCATGTCTTTGCTTGAAAATGGACATTTGTCTTCATCGCACAGTGAAAGAAATGTTAAGTAATTTGATTACGGAATTCTTCCGGAATTATAATTGCCTCAAAGGATTTATTACAAAGCTAACGTAGCGAACGATCTCCCGACCCGTCCCCCGCCCCTGCCCGGAGCGCTAAACCCACGAGCCCGGCTCGTGGCTACCGAACACTCACCGGAGCCACTGGTGACCACCTCCGAGACGGGCACGTTCAGCTCGTGAGCCATGAAGCCCAGCACGGAGAAGATGGCGAAGCCGGCGAACACGGAGGTGCAGCAGTTGCCGAAACACACGATCAGGGTGTCTCTGTGCAGAGGGTTAAGCCGGGTTAATAAAGAGAGAATTACTATGGTCACATTTTCCTTCGCGATAGATGGACAGATGAAACTAAGGAGCCAATTTTAGGTCGATTTACATAGCTCTCAACATTACAGAGTGTAGTTTATTGTTACAAAGAAGTGACTAAAAAGCAGTTCTTTGTATTTTGGCAGCTATATACATATGTGGTGGAAAGATGAAAGTGAGGTCAACTCAGCAGGATATCAAAATTAATCCGAATTCATTGAACAGGATGAAAACGATCATTGATGTAACTTTATAAGGTATGCTTACCTATTCTTTAAGTTGGTTTGAAATCGTATATGTAAAGTGTAATAAGTATTAAGATATCCAAATATGTCTGACAGCTGAGACTATTTTCGGTTGACCTTACCGTACGACATTGTTGTGGAACTTGTTGTAGCTGGCCAGTGTGATCAGTCCTCCGCTGGCGATACTCAGTGAGTAGAAGATCTGCACCGCGGCAGCCTCCCAGATCTTGACGTCTTTCAGCTTGCTCCAGTCCGGCACCATGTAGAACTGGATGCCCTCGTAGGCTCCGGGAAGCATGCAGCCACGCACCAGCAGAATGACGAGCACTACGTACGGGAACAGAGCCGTAAAGTACACCACCTAAACAGAGGAGGGCAGAGGGTGTCAGTCAAAAACGGGCACGGGCCTGTTAAGATCACAGTTTAGACTGTAGCGGCATGCTTGGAGAATGCTTGCCGGTTATTGTTCTCCAGTTACCGAGAGTATGAGGAGTTACCGTCGATATTTTGAGACACATAATTATCTATAGAGATAAAGAGACTAAATAGTATCGGTACTTTGGCTGCTAGCTAAGCGTAACATATTCATACCTGAATGCGTATTCGTTTAGGCATCTTCAAAACAATATTGAACTCTGCAAGGCAATCACGAAGTCATGAAACGCCAAGTCCCCGATCTCCTGCCACCCGCTAAGTCGAGTGACACCTCCATAGCCCGCCTCTCACCTTGCCGGAGGACTTGACGCCCTTGATGAGTGCGCCGCCAACCACCACCCAGGCGATCAGCAGCGAGATGAGCAGGCCCCACTGGATGCCGCCCAGCGTGCCGATACCGTCACTCAGGTTCAGCACCTTGCGCTCCAGGAACTCTTCGGCGGCTGTCGGGCGCCCGGGGAGGGGAGTTCAGGTTTTGAGATGCCAGATACACAGGGCCATTCATGATTTTGAGATGCCATTCATGATCCCGTGTTGCCTGCTGTATTTCAGCAGGCAACACGGGATGCTGATAGCAATAACATTTAGAACTGTGAACGTTACAGGGAATATACCAGCATCATCAACCTCATCTTTACACTCATATGGGTTCAAACAGATTTAACAAATAATTTCTAAATACATGCAGTTTATTTGCGTTATCTGGCTTCATTTATCGACGAATCATATGGGATGTTGAACTCCAAGAAGGCTCGTCACTCACGGGAGACCCTGAGGTGTTCGGGCAGCGTCTCGTTGACCTGATACAGCTGCGCCTCGGTCGTGTTGGTGATGCACCTGCCGTAGTTGTAGATCCACCAGGTACCGTTGTTTTCCGTCGCACACCTCTCGTACTCCGTGCTACTGAAACAGTCTGGGCAGGGACGGGGCGTGGTTAGAACGGCATTCATGAAGAGGCTGGATGGACCCAGCTTTATGCTTCATGTTACTGAAACAGCCGGAAACAAATACCTATGGTTATAATGGTATTTTGGAGGAGAGACTTGAACGTAATCGTATAAAAATAATTGTGGTGCTATAGTTAGAAGGAATTGATAGTCTTTTGGATAGATATTGGTAAGAAGGGTCCTTTAGGACAGTCTCTTGAAAATGAATAGCTGGGATAGAACGACTCTTCGTACAGACGCTCAAATACCTGTTCCTGGTAAAAGAGTATTTTAGGTGTCTGTCGTTTCTTGTGACATTGTCCTCTAAGTCTAGCGCAAAATGATGGGCTTACTTTGAATGATATGGCATAATGCATCGTGATTAAAATCACAAGGCCAGCATCGGTGAATCAGAAAAATCATGGAAATCACCCACATGTGTCCGTATATACCTAAACTACTCTGCTCCAACCATGCAGCACGGCACACCGTTTTGCCAGCAGCAGGCAGCGTTCGCTGTTCAGCGGCGTAACTAACGTTGGGAGCTGGCGCATTTAGCCTTCTAATTACCAAACTGCGCATGTTGCCAGTAATCGAGACAATGCCACTCATGCTGGCTGTTTTCAGTGCAATCTGGCGTGATGATTTCGACTGTCCAATGACAATGAGTCACGATTATACGCCGCCACAAGGTCATCACTCGTGTCACCGTGACGGTCGGATGGAGCTTCATTTGAGGGCCTTTCACATCCACCCAGACAAAAGAATGGCTCCAAACCACGGCGGCACGGTCCACACTTCACACTTTGGACAGAGTGAGCCTCAAGGCTCATCGGGCGCTGGGTAATGTTTGACCTCGGCAACGTCCTTCAGCCTCGTGACGGCAGCGGAGTTAAACAAAAGGCGTCAATAGCATAGTGATTACTTCACTCTCAGATCAATACGATCTTGTGGAACGAATGGTTCAGCAACTCATTCATCCCACTTCCGGCACAACTTAACTTCAATGCTTATAAACGAATGTCGGCGCACTCAACGAACATATCTTTGTATAGACATGCGCTTTCGCGTCTTTGAAAGCAAACGTAGGAATTATTGCGAAACTAACCGAATGACAAAAGGAAATTAACGACACAACGGTACTGTACTCCTCAGTCACATTATAAATAGCGTCCGCCATGGAGCATAATTGCGATGCAGAAACTGCACGCGTGTTTCGTGGGATAATTTGTCTCATTTGAGACACATCTCAGCTGAGACTCATTTGAGCTTTTCGAGCACTTTTCAGATAAGAACCAGCAAATCTAGGCTCGTGTTGCGCTGATTCGGTGCGTTGTGATTGAACAGCGTTGTAGCTACCGAATTCACCCCTTGACCGAACGTTTGGCCGTTCCGTGCCCCGCGCTCCGTGTTCACTCACTGGGTGTGTTGAAGTCCCAGTGGCAGTACTGCCAGGGCAGGTCGGACGTCATGCTGGAGTACGTGTAGTAGATGGTCCAAGCGATGATCATGTTGTAGTAGAGACCCACGGCTACCGAGGCTAGGAACATGGCCACGCCCAGACCTGTCGAACGGAGGACGGAAGTGCGTCAGAACACGGGCGTTAGCGTTTTACTGACGTGGGCCTCCCGTAGCCAGTCATGTTCTGTTCATTGTACGGGGGAAGTAGTAAATAATAACAACAGAGACGAGTCATTTTTATTGAGAATTGTGTGAATTATGTAAGGTCAACACTGGGATAAACATGAATTAGGTACACATCAACCCACCAAAAAAAATCATGAGATGAGTGAGTCATTGCTCGCTGTTCAGGTGCATCATGCATGCACAATGCACATGCAATACTGCGATATATGGGTTTGGGACATATATGCAGACCAATGGGCATAACTAAGCCGATTGCAGAGCACAGTGCGCGTAAAGCGTGGCTTGAGCATCCGACAAAGTTTGGCCCCACAACTATATTTTGTGAGCTGCAGGCATGTTAAGTCAAACGTACATACCTGTACCTAAGCAAGACTCCACAGCTCAACTCATGCCTCATTTGCAATGGGCATACATTGTGGCTCATACATATGTGATGTGACAGTGACCATGTAATCCAGTTTGTAATTATAATCAGAGGTATAGGCATGTTATCCGTCACTTTCTGGCAGACATCCAACTAGCCCATTGCGATGCATTGTGATTCTTTTTTTTTTCTCGTCATAACTTCATGGCTGGGTTAGTCACATGCCACCGGTCTGCGGTTCCACTGAAGGTCGTCGCCATCGGTTTGACACTGACCTAGTCTTTCTGTGCCAATCCGAGCTTAGGTTTAACGATATCCGTGTGGGAGAGCTAGCCTAGTAAAACAGATGTTTCTGTCATGCTGCTTTGCTCACGTCTGTTCGGCAGTACCCACTCAAATACATACACACCCGTGCCTGATTTTCCGTGCCGCCGCGGCGGGTTCAATTCCCCTCTCTTCTCACCTTTGAAGGCGGGCGCGTAGTGCTTGTAGAGTGTGATCGGGGCCATGGCGCTGAACTGGCCGATAGTGAGCTCCAGCAGGAAGATCGGGACGCCCAGGCAGAACAGCATGATGGCGTAGGGGATGAGGAAGGCGCCGCCGCCGTTCTGGTAGCACAGGTACGGGAACCGCCACACGTTCCCCAGACCTGTAACGGGTTAAATGAGGCAAAACGTCACTCAGTGGGGCAGTTACAACTTACGAGTGTATTTAGTCGTTAGAACGATGCCATGGTTTCGTTTCCTCTTTGTGACAACTGTGTACTCTCCCGTTTGAAGAAGAAAAAAATCAGTAAAATCAGCAAACAACTTCAACTTCATTTGTTGAACACCTTTTATACGTGATGACATCGGTATGACTGGACCTCAGTCGTTTACTCACCGACGGCATATCCGAGACAGGAGAGGAGGAAGTCGAGCTTGCCGGTCCAGTTGCCTCGCTCAGGGTTCTCGTCGCCCTCGAACAAGTGTTCCACGGACGAGTTGGGTACCGGTGGCCGGCCCGCCTGCGAACAGATTACGGACTGTCATTCAGATTTCTCCGGCCGCCGATACTTGGGACGTGAGGAGCTATAGGGACTGCTGGCCGAACCGCCCCTGCAGAACATACCCAGGGTCAGATCTCTCACTGTCGCCAGTGGGGAAACGATGATACCGAAACCTTGGTGACCTGCATAGGAAATTGTAGGAATTCTGGAGAAGCTGTTGCACTGAACATAAATATGCAATACTGAGCTGCGCAATATGCATACCTACACAACCAGTGAAGATGGTTTAAGGGTGACGTGTAACGCAGGATGAAGTACAAAAGACCTTCCACACTTTTCAAGGTCGGTATTGATCACGGAACTTAATTTATTTTGCGCATGCATGGCCGTCGCGACTTCGGATTTTTCCCTGAGCGATCAATCCAGCAGGATGTGGTTACGGCGACAACTCGAGAACAGAAGAGGGTTGTTTCTTTGGTCTGGGTCAGGGAGCACATCAAACCACACCGTCGTACAACGAATGTTTTTTAGATCGTGCAGAGAAACGTCCGCTGGACTCGCGGTGCTGGAACTTTTGCGGTTACATCAAGGACGTCTTCTTTGCAGAATGTGAGGACCGGTCTATTTATCCGCTTCACTTTGAGGTATGTGGATAGTGGATACCTATACTGGTATTGACAAGTTAATCAAAAACCATCTCTTTGCTAACTTTTATAGCTGAAGGAAGCTCTAATCTGAACACATACTAAATCCAGACCGTACTCGTATGTGTCTCACTTTAAATGGAATTGTAAAAGGGCACTTACAGTGAATTTTACAAGCAGGTTTCAGGTAAATGATTATCCTAATAAACCCATGGCGCCAGTTCGTCATAGCTTATTTGTGGAGTCATGAGTTTATTTTCATTGGTTGATCGTTTATTCGTGTTTGACGAAGATCATCATCGTTGGAAAGCCATACCTACCCCTACTGCGCACACATATCGCTGATATCGCATCCACTAATAATCATATTGCAGGCCGCATCGCTTTCCATAGCGACAAAAGAAGTTCTTAGTCACCGTCACGTGAGGTCGTACAATGGCCCGTTGGAATCAATCAGGCACGATCATACGGCACACTTATAATAAAACGGATGTTTGACGTCTCAATAGAAGACGCTGGGGGTTCAAAGACGGTCGGGTTTTCCTCGTTCGCCACGAGGAAGGTGGTTTTGTACAGTCATCGGCGCTCTCTCATTAAACCCGCCGCGCCGTCCCGGGTCGCTCGGTCAGACACCTGGCACAGGGCGCCGCTGAATGCGCCACAATCGCCGCCGCCGGCTGCGCCGCGCCACAGACGCCGCAGCGTCACTGCGCCGAGCGGCGAGTTTCTCTCCTCGACGGTGGAGTTTTTCACCGGAGCAAAACAGCCGTGCCGGCGCTAACTGAGCGGCCACGGTGACTCGTGCGGTGGTGCCGGGGCTTGCACTCCCCGCGGCTTGCACGGAGCGGTACAAGAACAAGACTCAGTGAGTCATCATGTTGTGACTATCAAATCATCTGTTTTGCATAGGGGTGTCGGAGCATTCCAAATGGCAAATCAGAATGTCATTTCCCCAAGGTGAACATGTGGCGAGGGGATTTAGAGAAAGAAAGCATAAATACAGAATAAATAGCTGCATCTTGCGGTGAATCAAACAGCGGTCCATTGTTGTTCGGCTGGTTGTACAAGAAGAACAATTCGCTGCTGTGATGACTCGATAGTAGAGCTGGTGATACAGGGGAACCTGAGAATCGTTGAAGAGATCCTGAGATAGCTATAGGGAGGGATCCAGATAGTGATGAGATCCTGATAGATGAGATCCACCTGACAGAGATGTATGGATCCAGATAGAGATGTAGATCCACCTGAAGGAGAGATGTAGATATCCAGATAGAGATCCACCTGAGGGAGATGTAGGTATCCAGACATAGGCGTAGGAACAGGGGGGGCCGGGGGGGCCATGGCCCCCCCACTTTCGGAGGTGGGGGGGCCAGCAATGTTAACTGGCCCCCCCACTTTTTGCTGACTTAAGTGTCTGTCTGTACAGGGACCCGCAGTTGCTTCTGTACACACTAGTATTTCAGCGTATTCTTTGCCTGTGACACCGTTGGAGGCGAATTGGGAAATGATTGTGTGCTTATTAAAACCACCATCTGAAGGGCTTTAAACTGATGTGCTGCTCTCCTAATTCAGTGAACTTTTTATGGCTATATCAGCAAAACATTGTTTTCGGCGCTTTTTCCTGCCCCATTCCTTCTGAAACCTGGAACCGCTTATTCCATTTACTCCTGCCATCTGACGATGGTCGTGCTGACTACTAGTTCCGGCGCTAGTTACCACTCCAGTTTTGCACCCGGCACAAACTCAGGCGGCACCGGGCCGTGGCTCGACCAGGGGAGGGTCGGACCGAGCCGACTGCCTGGAGCGCGGTTAGATCGGACGCCCTGCTGGGGAAGGGGACGGGAGTGAGGGGGAGGGGAGGAGGTGGTCACGTGGTCCGTCCAAGCTCGCAGACGGCCTGTCCTGCGCCCAGCCATGTTCCGTGATCCAAAATGCCACGAGAGCTGTGGAATGCCTGGAGGAGACGCTTCGAAAGCGAACTTCAGCAGCACTAATTTACCATATTCTGTGGAGATAAATGAATATCATCTTAATGCAGAAAAAATATATGCCTAAGCTGTATAAGCTGTATCTTTTTAAAAGTTGTAACTATAGGATTATTTTTAGGGACTTATAGGTTTCGTATACACAGTGAATTGTGTTACATTAAGCCGTTTCGCTGTTATGGTTACCAACTGAAGAGTTATCCTTTTTCTCACAGGGAATGACAATACAATAACAATACGAATAAAACAGACCTTTCGCACAAAAAAGTGCCTTTCAGACCTTTCGACCAAAACCAAAACATGACCAAAACAGACCTTTCGCACAAAAAAGTGCCTCCGTCAGTGGCAAGAAATAAGTAATTAGGCATACATGTTTTCTTTCGATAAAATTGATGAAGTAGTTAATTTTGTTTTTTTAAAGATATATTTTCAGCAGTTTTTTAAGCACATCATGGAAGCTTATATACATTTGTGTATTTTATCGGCAACCCGGCTGGCCAGACCGAGATGGTGCCGCATAGGTATAGGTAGTTCTCATCGATGTTAAACCTATACACTTATTTTTCTCGACTGAAGAAGGCACGTTGTTGTCCGAAACGTTTGGTTTTATTCGCATTGTTTTTATATTGTCATTGTCCGTGAGAAAAACATACCCATATGGACTGGTCTCAGTTAATGTAGAAATTGTTGCATATTAATAACACAGATAAAATGAATATTAGCCCTCACCACACATATAAGTAGAGGTAAGTAGACCGCGCCCCCTGTTTTTCACCAATAAATCGCGGCAACGTTAGGCGGCACGGGCGGACATCGATAGCAGCGCCTCTATCGGTCACTATGGAAAGCTGGGCTGTAGGCGACGAAATACCGGCTGAGTTGTCACAAGTTAAATAGGTTTATAGACATCCGTCTTGTGACAAAATTGAACTTTTGCCTTCAATATTTCTACAGGCAATTTTAGAAGTGCCTTCACATAGATTACAAAACCGTTTGAATTATTTTATTCACTTCAAGCCTTCCCTATTGTTCTTGATGATGCGGGAACTATTTCTAATTAGTGTTTCTAGCTTAGTAAAAGAACATATTGTGCAAACGATGAAAAAAGCATAAATGGAAGATTTTAAATGCAATTTTCTGTAACAAATAATGGTAAATTCTCTACACATCAAGGAAAAGGTGCATGCTAACTGATAATTTAAAGTTCTTGGGGCCAGTTGGTTTCTTCTTTTCTTACGTTGCCCCGATGGCCGCGAATACACTTGTGATAACGCCTATCGAAAGCGAAGCATTGCGACGATTCTTTGGTGCCCTGGAGTTAATCAATTTTATAACTTCCCGGAAAATTAAATAGCCCTTATAATTTTTGCATCTTGTCTGAGAATTTTACATCCCTGAACCAAATTACCTTTAACCTGTGATTATTTTTATCAAGATCATGTCAGGCCAGAATAGCAAATGAAAGTCAGCGCACATCTGTGTATTTCCATAGTCGTTTCATGATAAGCAACGTGACAACATGTAAAATATACTATCTAATGCAGGGGTCGGCAAATGGTGGGGCATGCCCCCTTTGGGGGTAATGGCGCCCTTCGGCGGGGGGTAATGAGGGCCTCTGAGAAAGCCTCATCTTTTTTTAGAATTAATGGCTCCCTTGATGGGACAAACATCGCAACTGTTGTGCCCCAGGATTCAAAGATTAGTCGAGGTCAAACGCACAAAGCATGAACTGATTAGCTGGCGCATGCCAATTTTCATGTAGCTGCTCACCATTCCGTACAGTCGTGGAAAGTAACTGTCATGTACCTACTAGCCGGCGCTCGTCTATTGGCGTTTTCACAGTCACTAACGCAAGGGAGAGGAGTCGTCCATTACACCCTGACCTGAGCATCTCGGTCTCTGAGCTGGAGCTTTGCAGAAAAATTGAGCGTGTTGCCCGTGAAGATAAGCAGCCGCTGCTACCCAATTTAAAGGTCGTTGGTCATTGGGTGACCTTCCATAGGTCAATAACAACTGCCGAGTTAATCGGGTCCTGCTGTAACTTCTTGAAGTGAGATTTTGTGGCCTGCCATGATCTCAAGAAAATCTCACAAATCAACGGTTATTTGGGTTAAGGTCATGCCATTTTCAGGACAGATAAAAATGATCGGCTCGATGGTACAGTTTTTTCGTGATCCGACCCTTTTAACGCGATCTATTCTCGAAAAATACCCGCTACCCCTATACGTATGGGGGTTAATCCGCGCCCTGCTGGGGCTCCTGGATTTCCACGCCCTGCTGGAGATGGAGGTTGAACACCCCCTATTAACTTGGCTCCTGGGTCACTAGCGAAACGCCGTAGTCGGCGATCGAAAGAGCGTAAGAAATGATGAAGAAAAAACTATGGTCA